CAATGAGAGTTGAAGATGTTGCTGTAACTCCAGTTGGCTGGTCGTTCATTACAGAGTAGTTAAAATGATGTAATGTCCGGAGTAGTTTTGTACCTTGTGTTGACACAATTTCACCGTTTTTCGAACGAGTTATATCAGCATTTAGATCACCAATGATTAACACATTTCTGAATTTATTCTACACTTTTTCCAAAACCATATAAAAGCTGTTGAAGAAATTGTAGTCCGACGGAGGTCTATAGACAGTTCCTAGTATAGTCGAGGTCGAGTTAACTGTGAGTTTAAGCCATATTCGTTCGATTTCGCGTGTCTCTAGAGATTTAAGTCGCGAGCAACAAATGTTATTTGAAACATAAACAACGCAACCTCCTCCGGGACCATTATCTCTGTCCTTTCGAGCTATTTTATAATTTGCAATATTCAATTGTTGGTTAGAAATCTTTGCTTCAAGGTGCAACTCAGTTATTGACAGCACATCAAAACGGCATACTTTCAGCAGTAGTTTAATTTCATCTAGTTTGTTCCGGAGACTACGAATATTGATGTGTGCAATTCGTAGGTTTGTTGACGAGTTGTCTAACGAATGAACAAACTGTTCTAAATAATAGTAGTATAGGGAAAGCCGTTTCGAGACCACTTCGACCCGTTCAAAACGGGTCGAAAAGGTCCCGAAAAAGCTCTCCCAAGGCTAATTTTGATGACTTATTTTCTTGTTGGAAGTCTATCGGAATCGCTCTTCTAGAGCCATTCTGAGATTTTTTTTTCATACTAGCGTTTTGGGCTATGGGATCGCTTTAGCGGTCGCGTAGCCCTTGTGTAGAACGTTTTATGACAACAATACATTCAAACCTACACTTCTACAATATCATCCGAAATCTCTATTCCGGAGTCTCTTCGTCAACTTTTAAAATACCCTTGGGGGTACATAAGGGGGTATGCCTTTGTAGTCCGTATACACTGTTAACATCATCCTTTTCACCCTGTGTGGTCACTTCAACCTTACTATCATTCGTTACAGAGAAGTTTATATCACCAACCTTCCCATTTTTCTTAGACCTCTTATGACAGCCACAGATTTTACCCATACATGAGAAGCATGAACGCCACTCTGACATAATTAATACCTTATGTTACAACACATGTTATCCACCACTTGACCCTGAATACAACAGTGACCAACAAAAAGACAGGTCCATACTCATACCAGTAGGCATTGAGTGTTCCGGTTTAACGATGACACACCAGGCTAGCGTGTTATCTACCAACTCGGCTTGGTTTCCCAGGTAATACTCACTATTACCCTTGAAGACATAGCAAGCTGTACTTCCACCATTACTTAAGTAGGTTCCGTTGAAGTAAGTGTGTGGTAGCCTGCTTAAGTCGATTGTGCCGAGGACGATTTCCTTTTTAGCTTGTGTAAATTTTCCATTAGACTGCTTTTCCCATACAGTAACCCACAGGATGAGTTCTAGGAGTATTCCAGTACCGATTGAAAGAAGTGGGGAATCTGATTTAATAGTAATTGACTCAAGGTTGATGTTTGTTAGATTGTTAATAGTGTCTGTTCTCCATGAAGGTGGAATCTGATTTTGACAGTAAGCATAGTATCTTGCTGCTGCAACTGATACTCCACGATAACCCCAGATCCACTGTGAATAAATGTGGTGAATTTTTTTTACATATCTATTATCAGCTGTCGCTTGAACAAGACCCGAGGAAGGTTGTAGGAAATTGTTTTCCACCCATTGCTTGTTCACTGCATCTTTAGCATTAACAGGATCTCTCAGATCTACAATACCACTTGAATCTCCCATATCCAAATCACCTGTCACCAACCCGCCAGACTTTTCCAGGTACCTATCAGCTGTCCACTTCTTGTTAACAGCAGAACCGTCAGTTGTTGGATTAGCCACCTTAGTTAACTCAAAATTGCTAACATCTAGGTTACTTGCTAACGTACCACCACTACGCTTCAGAAACTGTAGCCCCCAAGTGTCCAGCGTCTTACTTGAAAGTGCAGCTGTGTCTCCCACAGAACCACCTGCAAGACCCGTTATACTATGCCCACCCATGTCAATATTACCTGTCATAGTGAAGCCGCTACTATTGAGAGAACTTCCACTAACATGATCAGTGACCCACTTTTTAGACACAGCAGACTTATTCGTTGTGGGGTTGCCTAACTTAATTATTTCATTACCATCCATATCGAGGTCATCACTAAGTGTCAATACGCTGTAAGTTTCACGCCTGCTACGACCGCCGGATATTTTGTTTTCAACCCATTTTCTGTTTACAGCGTCAAGCTCCTGTGGATTCATGGAAAGTTTTCTAATTCTTCCATTTCCCATGTCAATATCACCTGTCATTGTAAATCCACTACTATTGATTGAACTCGCACTAACATGATCAGTGACCCACTTTTTGGACACAGCAGATTTGTCAGTAGTGGGATCACCAAGCTTTGTCACTTCGTTTCCACCCATGTTAATGTTTCCAACCATTGTGAAACCGTTACTGCGAAACGATCCACCTCCAACAATATTATTGACCCACAGTTTGGATACGGCAGATGTTTCACTTGTTGGCTTACCCAAACCTATAATTTGATTTCCACTCATATGAATACCACCAGTTAGGAACCCACCACTTTTCTCTAAAAACGACCTCGAATTAACCCATCCCCTGCTAACAGCAGACTTATCATCAGAGGGATCAGCTATATTTTTAATCTCATGGTCCTTCATGTCAATATCACCAGCAATGTCAAGTCCAACGACAGGTCTATTGAGTTTACCTTCTACCCAACTTCTAGTTGCAGCAGAGTTTCCAGTTGTAGGGTTACCGACATTTTTAACCTCAAATCTTCCCATATTAAGATCACCACTCAGAGAATTAAATCCGTTTAACTTTAAATAGTTATTCCAGGTGTACGTATGTAGATACTGCACATTAGCGGCCTCACTAAAGTCACTATTATCAGTCTTAACTCCGATTATCTTATTATTACCCATATTAATATCCCCAGTCATAGTGAACCCAGTTGGTTGAATTGTGATGGCGGCCTGTCTAACTATCTCATCATCCACCCACTTTTTAGTTACAGCAGAAGTATCATCAGTTGGTGCACCCAGACCCTTAACCTCATTTCCATCCATCTCAATGTCACCCTTCATGGTAAATCCATCCTTATTAAACACACCACCACCGCTTCCTTAACATATCCCCGATAGAGAGCCATTTTTATAACATACACAATGTTTACAGAAATATTTTCAGCAAAATGAACACAGCAGCAGAACCAATTCCAACCCCCACTAGAGTACTACTACCTGCTGCGCCACCACCACGGCTAACTGGTATGTTGAAAATGGGTGTAGCTTTCTTAGGTTTTGCTTGACTTTTTACATATCCACTAAGTGTATCAAGGTGATTAACTGGGGTGGTATCCTGATGTTGTTTTTTTGGTGCGTCGGATTTTTTAACACCTACGTAGTTAAGCCCTGTGTTAACACCACGCTTCATATCAAAGGTAGCATTTACAAGCACATTGTTATATCCAATAATAGGTTTCTTTAGAATGATCAAACTAGATGGAACTAAAACTATTCCAGGTGTAATGGCAGTATTAAGTATAACATTAGTGTCTTCAATAGCCTTTCTCATATCCGACAACGTTACAACAGGATCCGCCTGTACAACACAATCGTGAACTGTATTACCGAACTTTACCTGGGTAGAAAATGATTTTCCCATCTCACCAACAATTGGAGTTCTTGTCGATGCTTGTGACCCCAGTACGGAATATGAGAACGCCTGCACTGACTCATTTAACAAAAGTAGCCCAGTTTCGGTAATTTTCTTGGGAACATCAAAGGGATTAACAGCAATAAACATTCTGTAGTCAGATTTGCTTACCAGACTTGACGAAACCCTTTCTTCGTAACTAATTTTTATCTTAATCAGGAATCCATTAACTGAATTTATAGGGGATGCAACCACATTTCTAACCGGGTTACCATCACTACCTCTTTTTCTAAGCCAACTTGCTTTTTCATACTCAAGTCCCTTATCGTAAGTAACCCTGTAAGTATCAGTTTTACTTTCCCACTTACCGACAATAGGAATGTGACTCTTCACAGGACCCAACTTGCTTAAATAAGGTTTTATCCTTTCTGGGTTATATACAAATTTTCTAATAGTGTAGTAAACATGGAAATTCATGATACTGGTGATAACAGGATAGGTTCTGCCAGTAAAGGTCATATGATCGGTGGTAATCCCACTAAGATGCGTTGCAATGTAAGCCCCACAGAGTGCAGCAAAGTATGGCTTTTTGTAGTCGAATTTTACGTCAACATCCTTAATGGTAATAGAACTTACCACACTTGGAAAGAGAGATCCACCTGCACCACCTGTGGTATTAAACGAACTTGTAGCATCAACATACACCTTAAAACTGTTGACATCCTTAGGCCATCTTACCCCGGGAAAATAGCTGTACCCGTCAACTGTATCATCAGGATTAATCCCATATCCGTTTCCCTTTCCAGACGACCACATAGCAGGCCACCTAACATTTACAGGCTTAGATACGGGTGGTGGGTCAGTGTCAGTCATAGGAATAAATTGTATGGGAATAATAATTTTCTTGGTACCTGTAAGATAGGATGTAAACTCCTTATTATCCTTAAAACCTCCATACCTAATATCATACGAGGATATACCATCTAAATCAGCAAACCATGTGGCAACTCCTATATCACCGCTACTGGTTGCCTTTGCTTCAAACTTAAACCTCTTCATATCTGCGAAAGGATACTTTACCTTAAACCTCGCCCTCTCAGCGTCCTCTGCCTTCTTACCAGCAAGGGAGCTAGTAAAGCGTGATGATAGGAGGAAACTAGAGTTATTCAAATTATGGGCAAAGGATAATGCAGGCGTATTGTCTGCTGTATTTATTTCATCAGCTGCTGTGATAGTAGGACTTGTAATTACAGCCAGAAGTATGGCGTGGAAGTCAGGTGATGAATCAAAGAAGACAAATGATAAGCTAAACGAAATTGTAAAAAACCAAGTAAAACTTCCACCTGTATTTAATAAGATAGCAGATGGGTTGGAAACTGTAGGTGACAATATATGGACTATTTTAGCTGGAGCTATCGCTGTTGTATTTCTGATTTACGAACTAAGCTAAACATTACATATTGTATACAAGTATGAATACCACAGATAGGGAACTCCAACCTGGCTTCAGGAGGAGCCGTATGACTACAATCAAAGGCCCTCGAACTAGAAGTGTTGTCACATTTAATCCAACAACTATTAGCCCCGGGTGAAGAGCTGTACATTAATATTCCAAAACTCAAGCCATCCTCTTGCTTAGTCCCTGGTTCGCTAGCCCTTCTATTTGACTTTAAGAATTCCAACACCAAGAGCCGCTTTAATAACAACCTGTCTAAGTTGCTAGCAAAACGCTTACAGGTAAAGCTAGCTGGTGAGACAGCCTATGACTGTTCAGGAGAGAGTCTATTCGAAGTGTACAAAGATGTATGGCTAACACTAGGTGATAGGAAAAAGATGACTAAACAGGGCCTTGTAAGTGAGAATCTTAGAAAGCTGATATCAGGGGACGACTCTGGAGTGAAGGTAGGTGATGTAGATAAAGTAGCAGATGCACTTCTCCATAGTGTATACGGCTCTAAGCTTAGGAAACCAATTGACAAGATAATTGCAGATCATGGGCTCTATGTACCGTTCAATATGAATAACAATCCTATGTACATCCTCACACTGCCCCAATCAGATGAGATTATGACTGCCCAAGGAGGTGAAGCCAAAGGTGAATAGAAACTGGACAATCTTGAGTTAGAGTACGAGACCATTGAGAATGACGCCCTTGCAAGTGAAGTATTAAGGATGTATTCAACTGGCCGCTCGCTGTCCTACAAACACGTTACACTAATGCGCACGAGTAACTGGGACAAGGATCTTACCATTGTCAATGAGAACATTAATATCCCCAGAAAGAGCATGTCAGCAATTGTCCTCCTATTCACCAATAGAGTGAGAACTGATTCGGAAGAATATATTTACCCAAACATTGATAAAGTCAACGTAACCATTGAGGGTGTGCCAAATGCAGTCTTCTCCCAAGGACTTCCTAAAAATAGGTTCTTTGAAGAGGCAAAAAGATTCTTCTGCCCAATGTGTGAGAAAACAGTGGCTGACGAGTTTATGTCCACCAGTAAGTTCTCCGGTAATGGTTTCGCTCTAGTGATTGATCTCAGGTCAACACAAGATGATACCACTTGTGGAGGTAAGAAGATTGTTAACACTCAGTCTGGCGTACTCCTGGAAATCAAAAAGAGAGCTACAGCAGCTGACGTTCAGTGTAACATTTTTGTTGTATCAGATGCTCTCCTCAACTTTGCCAATAGAGATCTATCAAGTATTCAATACTAATGGTAACACATATAGAAATGAATCCGGAACCACCTTTCAACATGCTCATAGTAGGAATGACTGGAAGGGGTAAAACACAGTTCCCACTTAATATGATAGAAACAGAGTATAATAGAGTTTTCGATTACATTATCATTGTATGCCCAACAATAGAATGGAACACAACTTATCTCAATTGGAGCCACCGTAGTGATAAGGGAGTTATACAAATTCCATGTTCACAAGAAATGATCAATCATGTTCTCAAAGCAGTGTCCACTATATTCCGCGGTACTCAGACTCTCATTATAGTGGACGATTGTGCTGCAAGCTTAGCTGTAAAGAAAAGGGTATCAGAGTTGGTGAATCTAGCATTCTCCGCAAGACATTACAATCTATCTGTCATTGTACTTACCCAACAATTGTCCTCAGTAGCAAAGCCCTTCAGAGAGAACATTTCCAGGCTAGTTACATTCTTCAACCCTAGTGGCAAAGATATGAAGGTGATAACAGATGACTACCTGAGTGGTGTTCCTCAAGAGACAATCACAGAGATTACCAAGATATTAAGAGATGGAAAGTTCACCGCACTGGATATACTACTAGTTCACCCTTACATTTACACTGTTAGATTAAACACCGCGTAAAATATAGATGGGTATCGGAAAAATGGGATCTGAGTCTGAGGAAGAATTTGAAGCTGTAGTAAGAGATGTGGAGGAGGCCGCAGATGAAGTCGCAAAAACACCACCCAAAAAGTTAAGTAAAACAAAGACCACCGCAGGTAAGTCGCAAACTGAGAATAAAAGGAAGAAACTACTAGAACTATCAAAAGATGGTATTGTGGATAAACCTGCAAGCTTCATAAGAAAGTCAAACAAAAATGTTGTAGATAAATTGTACCATGAGTATGAAAGTCAGAGGATGTCATGTGCAAGTGACTTCGAATCAACACTTATTATTTCAAAGTTTGCTGCGGTACTAGGAAGTTTCGGTGCAGTGGAATCTTCAGAGAAACTATCAGAGGAACTACTCAGCGACAAGCTTCTGAAGGATGATGTAGCATATCTCACCAGAACGATATCCCCCAACATCCCATTCATAGGACTCATATCCGGTGGTTGTACAACTGCTAAACATGTAGTTGCTCGTAAGTGGAGTAAGAAAGAGGAGCCGGAGGAAGTGTCCGAGGAAACTAAACATCTCCTATTACATACAGAATACCACAACTCGGAGAGCCCTACGACTGGGGAAATCCCTGGGAAGGAACAGAGTTCGAAGATATAATCGACGAATTGATTGAGAAGCTGATAAGAACAAGGAACAGCTTGATAAAATACAGAGCATCCTGGAAGCACTTAAGTATGACTTTGAAGCTTTCAAGAATGATACGATAAAAATGGTTACAAATATATTCAAAAATCTTAATGAAATGCATTAATTAATATACAGAAAATAACCTAAAAATTTTTTACACATATAGTATAGAGAAGATGGAGCAAATTTTTGATAATAGGAAATTGAATGTTAGTGTAAGAACAGTGAGGTGGGGTGAGGGTATACTGTTCTTCGCAAAGGATGTGGCGGAATCACTTGGATACGCCGATCCTAAAAAAGCAGTTCAAACACATGACAGGAAGCAAAATAAGACAACCGTAGAGGACCTGAAAATAGGGGGTGAATCGCCCCCAATTTGCAAAGGACATCCGAAGAGGGTTTTACTGTACGAACCTGGTCTATACCAACTGGTTTGCAGTTCAAGACTTCCGATAGCTGAAGCCTTTCAGGACTGGGTATTCGGTGAGGTGCTTCCATCTATCCGTAAAACGGGCTCATACAAACTACCAGAACGCGAGCCACTTTGCGGTAAACAAATGATGCTAACTAATGAAACAGACCTCCACTATTCAGTTGTAAAGTACATGAGAGAGTACCACCCTGAAGTACTAGTAGTACCGGGATTAGGAGAGTACCAGGAGACTTCAAGTAAAAGATGTGATGCTTGGAAGAAGGGTTACAGAGGCGGACAACCTGATCTAATAATAATGACTCCAAGTAACGGTCTAACCAATTCGAGCAACACTTTCTTATCAAAACCTTGAAAACTAGCTTGTACAGTAGAAATATGTGCTGACTGAATATCAGATGTATTCATCGGCTTGATTAGTTCTTCAATAACATTGTATCCAAGAATGGGATATTCTAAACTGTCATTTGTTACTAAGAAAGGAACCATAACCGATGGATCCTTTTCTTTTGATGAAATCAATCTAACTTCTATCTCAGTCCAACCACTATACGCAATTCGTGTACCATTAGCTGCTGTTAAATCCAATTCACCATTAATAAGTTCTGAAATGTTCTTTATAACATTTTTAGGAAAATGTTTTTCCATCATTTCTTTGGACACGATAGATACTTGTGCACCCGTATCCCATAATACTGTTGACTCAAATTCATTTAGAGAACACTTTACAGTACACCGTCTTCCTACTAGCTTAGCAATCTTTGCATGCTCACTAGGAGTTAGGTGACTGGTAAATGTCTTATTATTGCTGCGTGTTTTGTTTTGACATGTCCATGTCAGGTCCCGAAGAGTTTTACAATTGTTCCTATGATCATTCCAGTGTCTTTTCTGGCAATTTTTTGAACAATAAACTATACATTTGCATTGTGCACAACAGTACAATGTCATTTGATCATCGTCCTTGCCACAATAACTACATCTTTGGGACCGCAAACTTCTTTCGGCTACTTCTGGCCCCGGAGAGGCAGCCTCCTGTAGTTTAAAGCATTCTTTCCACGATTCTGTCGACATCCAATTGCAAAATGATTGTCACTTCCACAAATGAAACAATGAGAGCATTTGTCATTTCCACTAGTTTGGCACTGCAAGCATTTTGGCGGCATATTTCTTCTCTGGTTTCTAGTGTCTACTGGCGCAGGCGAATTTGGTAATCGAGCTTGTTCAGTTTCTTGGTTGATATCCTTCAACTGACTCTTAACTTGTGCCACTTCAACTTTCAGTGCTTCCAGAGTCTTTAGAATTTTATCTTGGGACTCAGCTTTCTCTGCTACCTGGGAAACCTGGGCAGGCTTTGGGCGATTCTGGTTTCTTAATTTTCTTACCCGTTCATTCTCTGTCGACACTGCATTATTCACTTGCAAAATAAGCTCCTCATCTGATATTGTGGGGTTTCTGAGGTACCCCCTAACCCTTACTCTAACATTTTCATCTTGAAGGCCAGTTTCAACAGCACGTAGAAACAGCTTTTGAATATGATCATTTTCATAAACCAAAGTGTCCTCACTTTCATCTTGAGTGCTTGAAAACAGGATTTTCTGGCGTAAATCCAAGGCACGCATAAGAAATTCTTGTGGTGTTTCCTTTGACCCTTGACATATTGATGCAAGACTTTGATATAGCTCAGTTGCACTTTTAACATCATAATGGTTTCGAAGAATTTTTCGTAACCGCTCTAGAGATAGATCCTTGTAAGTTTCTACATAACTTCGAAGAACCATTCCACCATTAATTGCACGAATAACACCGTCCACAATTTCCTGTTCTGTGTACCCCTGTTTAACCTCAGTGTCAATTTGTCTTGTCAGGGATGTGAAACTCAACTTGTCTTTCTCATTTGGCTGTCCAATTTGTCCCACAATCTTAAATTGTCGACGAAATACACTTGTAGATTCTAACATACCTTGTAATGTGCTTTGACTTTGTCCTGCGTTTTGTTTTACAGGGGGTACTGATTCTGAAACATCTTTTTCTTTTGGTTCTGTGCTCTTAAAGTAACGTGAGCGAAATTCTGTCGAGAATAACATTCGTTGTTCCTCGTTTTTGTCCATCAATTCTTTATCAATATGGTTAAAAATCATGCAAACAATTGTACTTTTCCTTTGTTCGGAAATATCAAGTTCAAAATCCTTTGCCATAGCCTGGAGCGTTTCTTCGGGTGCTTGGCAAACCGTTGTTTGCATCTCTACTTGTAGTTCTTCAGCCATAATCGCCAGCAAATCACCAAAAGCAAAGATCAAAATACAAAAATCAAGAATTTAGAAAAGCGTAAAAATCATACTTTTTCCTTCGCATTCACAGCTTCTTTTATGTATAAAAGTCTGGGTGGGACCTCCAATTTGTTGCCCGCTCACTAAATTCTCGATCTATCCCATAATTCAAGTATTAAAACAGTAGAAAGCACAATTTATTTCGTAAAACAATGCGAACATTAATAACAACGTGGTTTATTAATCGCCATCTTGGAAATCTGTTTTGTCTGTCCTTTCTCGTTACTATGGTAACTGTCACAACTGCATGATGCAATAGTTCCTATTTAACTAATGTTACATGACGTATTGCTAATGGGCATCCTACACAAGCTTCCGAGAGTTATTGTTAATATTTCTATATCTCTCGTGCAGGATACAATGCTCGCTATATTCTACGGAACTGGATGGCAGAAAAGGCTATAAGAATGGCGGAAATAGATGATTTTTCAGAGGTTTGCTTCGGCTTTTCTTTTTCCATGTGTTCAACCAAATATATGTTACAGTTAATGTATGGATAAACTATAAATATGATTTTGTTTTAGGTTCGAAATTTGCTTAGAATTCTTCAAAATCCGTTTGTGAAGCAGGTAAGAATAACGCTCGACACAATAATAATAGTATTACTTATAATTTGAGAAATTATCAAGAAAGAAATGAGCAAGGTATTAAATTATCCGATACGAGGTCCATGTCAGTATCTTGCGAAACCGAAAAATTCACAAAAACCTCTTAGCTCTGACCGAGGCTTACAGTGAAATAATCCTATTTTTTCTGGTCTGCAAATCCATAACCGTTACGTAAATGGACTCTTGTCATTCGTTGTTGAGAAATTATACGTATTACACACTACGCAGACCTCTCCCATTTCGCGCTAAAACAATTCGAGGAGTGAAGACTCGAGAAACTATAAAAAAACGTACCCTGTCGACAGTAAAGATCGTAAAATAAACTGAATTGACTTCATTAGACTTTGTGTTATACCCAAAATGTTACAGTACTTTTCTCCGACCAAAACAATCTCAACGAAAAGTTGCGTGGTCTTCCATGGCTGACAGAGGCAGGAAAATGCTATTCTTGGGTTTCAATCACGTTTTTCAGCCTGTAGAATTTAGGATTATTGACGTAAATTGATTCGTAAGCCAAAGCGATCTTACCTGCGTAATTTTGTTAATTTGCCCCCAAAGTAATTTAAACTATACAACTTATAGTAAAATTCGAATTCTTGAACTACTAACCAAGTACGTGTTACACGCGACTCTTTATTACATAACGCGCACGAATTTCGAGAACATCGAGAAAACAGTCCTACATGTTTACTTTTTGAAATGCAACATGCAACCCATTCTCGAACATAAAAATCTTAAAAGATACCTCAAACGTTAGTTTAAACATGGTTTCTGCACAGGTTGAATTCGGTCAAATATTTTTTATAAATGTCGTGATAATAAAATTTTTTTAGCAAGTAAAATTTGTGGCTGCGTGTCACAATTAGATATTTTGTGAAACGATCAGGAAAATCAGTTTACCTTCGTTGTTGTCTTGTTGCATAGTAGACAACCATCTTTTGGGTCAAACCCAAATGGTTTTGACAGAGCTTTGGACTAAAGTAACAAACACAACTGATCTCAAGTCCACCTTTTATAGTTAACAATTTTCCGAACACCACACTGGAAAGAAATATTGAATTTAATACTATGGAAATTGCGATTGCATCACTAAATCCATGGTTTAGCTAATATGAAAATTGCAATTAGTATGAAAATTGGATTTCCATACTATTTTCAACCAAGATCCATACGATTTCCATAGCATTAGGATTTTAATTTGAAAAAATTACAGTGCCACTCCTTATAGAATAAATTTAGTCTTATTTCAATGCTTGTTCTTTTTTTTCTTTTGAACAAGGGGTCATATATTTGTGTCTGAAATACAAGTGATAACGTGAACAATGTAACAATGTGATTTCATTGTCACGTGTGCATAACTTCTTGAATTTTCTTCTTAAATTTTAATACTGTTTTTGCCACACAAAAAAAAGAATGATTTTAAAACATTTTAAAAGATATTCGTTTGTTTTATTCATCTCATACTCCGGAATCCTCTCCAAAAGCAATCATAAAACACTGACGTTACGTCTGTTGTCGGTGCACAGATGCCATCGAAACGCACCATAATGTGATGTGAACAGACTTAGCAACTAATTGCAAGTTTAACCGCTGTTTAACCTGAACTGTAATGTACGAAAAGTTAGTAAATTAACTATTTGTAGTCGCAGAGTACTATAGTTTCTTAGTTTTGATGAAAATTGCCAAAATGCTTCAATTTTTGGGTTATTGTTTTTTTGCAAAAAAAAGCTGGTATTGATTTGGTATATTGCTTCTCAAATTTTTGATTCTCCAATTGATCAAATTTCACGCCTGAAAAAAATACTATTATTATATATATTATAATATTTATATTTATTATAATATTATTTCTATACCTTGAATTGAAATGCCTAATATCTCAAGCATAACCTATCGATGCAAAATTGGTTTTCTGGAGCCGATTAGTTACAGTTGGATTAGCGTTAACCCTCGGTTAGAATTTAACCTGCTGTTTTAGTTTGCGTATTTCTGCACGTCTGTTTATCGCAAAACTTCATAGAAGGAAACTGCTATTGATCCAGACAAGATTTCTAAAGAAATATTTACAAATTTATAAACGAGCTGTTGGGAAGTTTGCTTTGAATTTTAGGATAACCTAGGATTAAGTTAATCCGGGTTTGAACAACTGCCCTCGAACTGCCCCCTGCGTGATCAATAAATGAAAAGACATGTCGACAAAGCAACATGAAAAGAGGGCTGTATTAGCATATATTGTACATAACTAGGGAAAGTAGTCTACTGTTGAAACGTCGAATGAATAAGCTTTAAAGAGTCCTGGTCACCCACAATGCAATGCATACTACTGTTACTAAAACTCTGTGGTGATGTTGCTCTAAACCCTGGCCCTGTTCAACTAAATTTGCAATCACCAATATCTAAAGGTTTAAAGATCTGCCACTGGAACATACAACGGCTTACAACAACCAAACAAGACGAAATAAAGATTAGCCTCACGGAAAATTCGAACAATTCTAACAAGATCGATATTCTGTTTTTATCGGAGACATTCTGCACGAACAAGACTCCTGACTACCTATACGCTATCACGGACTATAAATTATTTCGTAAGGACAGAATAGGTAAGCTCGGCGGAGGGGTTATGGCGTTTGTACATAAAGATCTGGAAGTTGAACGGCGAATCGATATGGAGGACGATGACTTAGAGGCACTGTGGCTAGAAGTTAACCCGCACAAATCTAATAGATCATTGTTCGTTGCTGGGGTATATCGTCCGCCATCATCGAATGTAGATATGGACAAGAAACTTGGTAGAAATATTGAGAATGCGAAACTGCGTAATAAAGAGCTTATTATCATGGGGGATCTTAACGTTGACTATATGACACCTGAAAAGTTTTGTAAACAAAAACTAATGAAGAGCTTGTTGAATCTTAATCTGTCCCAGTTGGTAAATCAAATCACAAGACCTATGTCGCAATCATGTCTGGATCATATATGGTGCAGTCACCCAGAACGAATCAGACAGGTAGAAGTGTTGTCATCAGGTATGTCTGATCATTTACCTATAGTTGCTGTAAGAATATACAAAAAATTGAAAGACAACAAAGGTGAGCATCATAACATTACGTATAGGGACTTATGGAATCTGAATGAACAAGCTTTTTGTGAGTCTTTGTCTTCCGCTCCATGGGATTGTGCATTCACTTTTGATGACCCCGATGATATTGTTTATGCATGGTATAATATTTTTAACAGTATTGTTGATCAACACGCACCATTGAGACAAAAACGAGTTAAAAGAAAGTCTCAACCTGATTGGGTTAGCAAAATTCTTGAAGATGTGCTAAAGAAAAGAGACAAGCTACTCTACAGAGCTAGACAATCACAATCTGATTCCGACTGGTCAGCTTTTAGAAAGGCGAAAAATAAAGCCACTAATTTGTTACGAAAAACTAAACAAACGTATTTTAAGAATAAAGTGGCCGAAAATAGAAACGATCCTAGAAAATTATGGCGTCTAATTCGCGAACTCGACGGCGTGAATGTCAAGGAAAATTTTACATGGCGTTTGAATGACGGTGACAAGTTAGTATCGGACAAGTATCAAATTGTTGAGATGTTTAACTCATACTTTATCGAACTACCGAAATCAATTTTCACTGAATTAATTAATATAACTGGAGACTATATTTCCCCAGAGAAACGAGTTCACTCGCAGCTCGAAATCCCCCACATCACACCTGAGCAAGTGAATGATTTTCTGGATCAAATTCCTGTAAATAAATCTACCGGCCCAGATGGTGTAGGTATACGGCTTCTCAAGTTAGCTGCCCCTGTAATTTCAGAATCGCTCAGCAGAATAATTAATTCCTGTATAATAACTGGAAAATTTCCAACAAAGTGGAAAGAGGCGAGCGTTACACCTATCTACAAGGGTAAAGGTTGTAAAAGTGAAGCCTCAAATTACAGGCCCATATCAGTGTTGTCCGTCTTGTCTAAGGTGTTTGAAAAGCACATTGCGTCATCATTGCGTGCTCACTTGAAGGAGAACGCCTTGTTGTATGGATTACAATCCGGCTTCCGGAAGTCATTTTCCACTGAAACCGCATTAATAAGGCTTTTGGATCAGTTGCTTTTCAACCTTGATGAAAACTGTGTTAGCGGTCTGGTCCTCGTTGATTATAAAAAAGCATTTGATTTAATAGACCATAACATCTTGATTAAAAAGCTTTTTTTCATATGGAGTACATGGCCAGTCGCTGGAATTGTTCAAAAGTTATCTTTCTGATCGATCCCAATATGTCAATGTGGACGGTGTTAAGTCATCCTCTAGGCCTGTCGAATGTGGTGTGCCCCAAGGATCTATACTTGGGCCCATTTTATTCATTATATTTATTAACGATCTTCCAGATCAGATTAAACATTCTGTTGCTGATATTTATGCTGATGACACGACGCTTAGCTATGCACATGATTACTCTTCTGCCCCTCAGTCAATTACGGTTGAATTACAGAAGGACATTACAAACCTTGCAGATTGGTCAAGAGTTAATCATATGGTTTTGAATGAAGAGAAAACTAAAACTCTTCTGATCGCCGGAAAGCGCCTGAAGAAGAAAATGGACACACTTGATATTGATCTTATGCTGAATGGGAAAAAACTCCAACAAGTCACCTCGTTTAAATTACTTGGAGTTACGCTCGATGATGAACTGAGCTTTGATATACATGTTTACAATATATGTAAGAAACTATCTCAACGAATCGCGGTACTCCGTAAAATAAAGCGTTGCCTTCCATTTCGAGAACGCTGTCTTTATTATAATGCTATGATAAAGCCTATCATTTTCTATGGTTCAGCTGTTTGGACAACAACCTTGAAAGAAAACCTAAACAGAGTTTTTAGGTTACAGAAAAGAGCAGCTCGGGTTATTTTAGATTTGGACATGTCAGCGCGAACAGTTAACATGTTTCAGCAACTAAACTGGATACCATATACTACGACAAAGTGAAGATTCTGCGACGAAGTGAAGAACAACAGCCTATAAACGTATAAAGAATGATTCTCCGAACTATTTAGATGATATGCTGAAACTGAATTCTAGTGTAAATAGTAGATCCACTAGATATTGCAATTTAAATTTCCTATGCCCTAAATATAAGCGAGAAACCGAAGGTGGTCGTACATTTGCCGTTTCGACCATAAAACAATGGAACCAGCTGTCTAAGACTGTGCGTGATAAGGGGACGGTGGCTTCGTTTAAACACAGCATGAGACATTAAAGAGAGCTATGAAAACATCGATCATTTTACTATATAATCTTCGGATTTTAGACGTATGTATATATAGTATTTTATAAATTTAGTACTTAGGTTTAATGTTATTTGTATAATCCATTGAGAGCCACAAATTTATCAGTTCAAACTGGCATGTGTAACTATCGTTAAATAAAGTCTTCATTCATTCATTCATCCCACTGTGGCCAGGCATATTTTTCAAGCCTGCCCGGTGTGGATATACACTCAGAGTAACATCACACAAGCATCTCATTTCATCAAGTTCCTCCAGATATTCATACACTTCCTGTGAAAGAGGCAAAAGCCAATTCCAAGTATTTAATCATTTCTGGTCACTTCCTTTCTATTTATGATTGGTTAGTTGCACAAACAACAAAGGTGATTGGTGCATTCAAACCATTTAACAGGAAGTTTACAATTATACTAGGAAGTGTATGAATATCTTGAGGAACTTAATCAAATGAATTGGTTAGCCCGAGGTAATGTATTGAATCAATATTTGAGGAACACTTCAACTGGAACGACAGTGAAGAATTATTAAAAAAATATTTTATTCAAAAAAAGATTTTCCAAGATAATTATATAATTACATTTAGTAATAAGAATAAATAATATATTCAATTTCAAATCACAACAAAATTTATTCTTTATTTTTAAACACATACAACACCAATTTAATTAAATAAACTGCTCAACCAATTCTATGCATGTCAGTCCCTACTTGATGGTCAGCACCTACAGTAATTATGCTTGCCTAATTTGTACACAAAAACAAATGGTCAAAATAAATGTAAATGTAGCAATCTTGGCTTAGCTAAACAGACCAAAATGTGTACAAATAACTTAAAGTTGTTAGCAGAAAAATTAAGGAATAAATTTAACCCATTGAGTGGCGAAGCACCCTATTTTAGTATTTTACTCTGTCTAACGCCAGACAATTTTACTCGTCAAGGGGAGAGCGCTGGCGCTTAATGGGTTAATTACCCCTCATGTACAGTATGACCATTAATTGTACTGATAATAAACTGTAAAGATCACAACCAAGCTGACCAAAGCAATCATTAAAGATTGTTGGTACAGCATATGGCTTTAACACTGGTCTCTGGCTGTATCCTCCTCAAAGAGCACTAAAATGCTTTGAACTAAAATGCTTTGAACATTAGCACTAAAATGCTTTGAACACAAACGACTATTTTTCATAGGAACAAACTTCACTGGCATAAGTTTGCTTCAGGCATGAAAATAGCGTGTCCTTGTACACACTTTGTGTCCTGTAAAAGGCGAATGTGCCCTTGTAAATTGAAAAGAGTGTATTTGAAAATATATTAAACTGAAAATATGTTAATGTAATCCACGCAAAATGGCCAAAGATTTTGCAAAATTGGCTCTCAGAACTCTGGAAATGCCATTTCAGAGACCCCCCTAAAAGCTCGCGTGTTGGTTACTCGTTCTCGTGAGTCTGCGCATTTATACCAAAAATACGCCTCTGAAGGCAAAGTGTGTCCTTGTAAAAATTCCGTATTTTAATGCCTGGGTTGCTTATATTCTTCACCCATATGCTGTGCAATTCAGGGAATCTCTTCTCATCTGGAAAGCTTTGAAGTAAATGAACAATTGTTTTTAGTGTCTAGTTAATACACTGTTCAATACTGTTCAATAACTTACAATATAAACAATGCCACACTAGACAACACATGGTTTAGTCCACAATAAAGACAATACAATGAGTGAAAGGTTTTGTACATTTAAAGCTAGTCGTATCTTTATCACATTGCTAAAATTCTCGTTTGAAATTTTTTAAACATAGCATTATCTGTTAGGATATCGATAGTATTTCATCACTGCATCACATCCATCAACTTGCATGAAAATAAATACTTGCTCGACAACAGCTCCACAAGCTTGTCAACATTTTAAAATTTTATTCTGCTTTTGCACTGTAGTACACTAACATAAATTGTATTGTATGTTGCTTGCCAATAAATTTCATGAATTCACAAATTTACGCATTCAATACAGCAATACAGCATGCGTTAAGTTATTACAAAAAAAAGAGATTATACGAGCCTTACGCATGTGAGGACAGGTCCTTTCTTTCAGTAGATTTTTGGCAACCAGGTATTGAACAAAAAGTTGGCATGGTTGCAAATGTCTCGTTTCAATATAGAGATTTCCGACCGAAAATCCGAAATTTTGAATTTACTATTTTACTTCCTTCTTTTTAAGCAAATTGAAAGGGGGGGTGTGAATAACTTTTTTCTTCACGTTAGTATTTTAGGTCAGTGGTGTTCACCATAAATTTAGGTCGATTGTGACGTCAAAATGACGTAAATTTGGCCAAAATCCGCCATGTTTTTGGCCACCCATTTTTGACTGACGAGGTATTGGAGCACGATCTCCAGATATATTAAGTATAGCTCAGTGCCAGGAACTTTGCTTCCCGTACCAGAACCTCTGAAGCGCGCAAAGGCCATGGGTACGAGGTTGTGTTTCTATAACTCTTATATATAGAAACATGAAAAATGTTTTAATCCCCGAGCCGGCGGCGCGAAGCGCCGTGCGAGGGTACTAATTCCGCCCGGCTATTTACAACCGGGTGTTTGAAAACATAGCGAAGTGCAAAGTTGTCCTCCATTATGTGATGGACGGTCTTCGATGTTATTGCGCATGCACGTGTAATAGCTCGTACTAAAATTCTAAAAATATTGTTTTTCATTTTGCAAAGATGTATTTTGATATTTTACAATATATTTCTGCGATGTATTTCGCTATTTAACTGGAAAAAATCGTGCAGTTTCATGAATTAGTGGCTGTCAACCGTGAAACAAAGTGTGAAAGGCATGCATAAAGTTATAAACTGATAAACACGAATTTTGTCGAAGACGAACCAGATCGATGTTTTTAATATAAAATTGAATCGTTATCTTGACTCTTGGCTATCTTGGGTAAGTGTTATAAACATTTCAGTATAAAAATTTCATACCGTACTTGCTTTGTGTTTTCGATTTCATTCTTATCGGCGAAATTTTATGCCATTTGACTCAATAAATAATATATTTTTCTGCAAGCTGGTATTTACATGAAAATGTATAAATGTAGTGATTCTAAATATTGTTTATTTGGGGCAATTAATACAGGGTATAGTGTTTTTATGCGTGTTAATAATGGTCTGTTACCTGCAGCAAATATGGCTTCACCAAAGTATAACTCAAAAACTAGCTTTTGCTTATATAAAGCAAATATATTTTACCGTATTTTCGAGCAAACTACTGACTATACTGTCAACAAAACGAGTGTTTCAGTTTCCCCAGCAGTTCCACGGCAAAGTTTCGAAACGCTTTAATACCGTTAATTTTACATTAACATTTAGCCGATTGAAAGCCACATGTGACATAAAACTACATTCCCTTAAATAACAAATTATGAAAATCAACGATTCTTTTGGTAAAAAATTATCTCCTATTATTTTCTCATATTATTTTCATGTTACCATAGCGACTATTACTATTTTGAACATGGAGTATACTTCATGTTGAATGGAATTTCTATACCTCATCTGTTAAAAAAGGCGAGGGGTTGCTGCATGCATGTATATCTAGTATATATTATATTATCTACTATAAAGCTAGTGATAGGTCGCGGTTTGAAGACCCAGCCGCGGCAGACTTTATCTTTCTGCTTACGCTGGGTATGGAAATTATGAAATACACACTCGAGAACATTTTCTACTTATCATCCCCGAGCCGACGGCGTGAAGCGCCGTGCGAGGGTACTAATTCCCCCCGGCTATTTACACCCGGGGAAACGAAAGCATTAGCGGAGTCTAAAGTTCATCAATTATCGCGGGCGTGGGTCACCAACGAAGTTTCGGTGGGTGGTCATTCTCACTGATCTCATAATATAGCGGACTGTCATGAATAGCCAACACTGATTGGTCCAATTTAAAATTTGCATTATAACGACTGCATGACGACAGCGAAATAGCAAGCATTTCTTGATTTGGTGATTGATAAATTTCTTGCAAATATATTTCATTTTGCTCGCATTTTTGCAAGATTTTGTAAATTTCAAAAGCTCTCTGAGGAAGAAACTGCGAAAGAATCGGCTAAAAGAAGGGAGCCGACGTTAACGAAGCCGAAGGTAAGTTTGTTTTAAATATTGATTTATATAAATGGATTTAAAACCCGACGGCCTTTGGCTTTGCATATATGAAACAACTAAACAAAACAGCATATAATTTCAGTGTATCTTTAATATTGATTCCTTTCTTATGATATTGAATTTTTTTAAATAAAAAAGAAAGCAAAGTTATTTGCAAACTCAAAGTTTATCGATAAAGCCATTTTAAAAGGCAGTTTAGTTTTATAACACTATAGTGACTTTGAAAACGTTTTGGAAGCGTTTGTGGTTGAATTTTACCTTAAATTGAGGCTTATATTACGTATAATAACATGCCTAACATATATATGTTGGGAAATTAATAATTTTGTAATTAAAAGTGATATTTTTAGGCGATTTTTCATTTGTATTAAGAATATTCTTAAAAAATTTTCGTGTTACCATGACAACTACTCTAGATACTTCCTGTTCGGAAAATACAACGGTTTTGTCAGCAAGGCGAGGGTTTCTGCATGCATGTATTTTCTAGTATTACGGAGTGAACAATAACACAACATAACATGATTTGATTTGGCAGCCGCTTGACTAAAATTTAATTGTTTACAACATGACAACAACATTACAAATCTTATGTAAGCTCATCCAATTTTTGTTGTAGAGACTTTGTTTACTAATTTTTCAAAAGAAAATCTTGTAAGGATTTCAAAAATATATAATGTGTCTCGTGTTAAGATAGAAAATAATTTTTAAATGAAGAAAAGTGAATGGACTTCGCACGTCGGTCCAGACATAGTAAATATTTAGTTTAGAATGTATTATGTAATCATCAAATTTTGTCGGGAAGTTTGGTGAAAAATTGCTCAAACCTTTACATACTTTATATAATCTGTATCGCTATACAACCAGGAGTTTAAAAATGTTTGATTGAAGTACATTGGTTGAGTATTTTAAAAATTATCCAAAGTATAGTACTGTGGCGCTATATTTATATGCCATGTATGCAGACATATGTATTAAAAGATTTTAGTGATTTTAAAATTCTCAGTACAAAACTTTAGATAATTTTTAAAATACTCAATCAATATACCTCATTCAAACATTTTTAAAATCCTGGTTGTATAGCGATACAGATTATATAAAGTATGTAAAGGTTCGAGCAAGTTTTCACAAAATTTCCAGACGAAATTCGATGCTTACATTCCGGCGTCTCGACTTATGTGCAAAGGCCATTCACTTTTGTTCATTTAAAAATTATTTTCTATCTTAACACGAGACACATTATATATTTTTGAAATCTTTAGAAGATTTTCTATCGAATGATTAGTAAACAAAGTCGCTACAACAAAAAATAGATGAGCTTGCATAAGATTTGTAATGTTGTTGTCATGTTATAAACAATTAAATTTTATTCAAGCGGCTGCCAAATTGACTCCTAACTTCTAAATTTCTGATCGTATAAACTTGATTCAAACACTTTCCGATAGCTTATTTCTCGAGGATTAAAAATATATAAAATTTACCTTGTCTTGGAGCAGCAAGCTAAGACCCCGTTTACACGGTACCGGACGAATTTGGGACCGGACAAAAATTCGTCCTTTTTCGCCTGTTTACACGCGAATTCGTCCTGTTAGGGGGTCTCAAATTCGTCCGGTTCCGTGGTTCTCGTGTGTTTACACGGCCGAAACGGACGAATTTTCGTCCGGTCACAAATTCGTCCCGTACCGTGTAAACGGGGTCTAAGTATAGGAAATTTTGAAGAACAGATCAATTTCGCGCATTGAAATTGCTGTCGATGCAATAGAACTGTTGGTATTTGGTAACAAGGGCAGATTTCGTTCTCGACCAATCAGCGCATTTGTTTTTTTGATTGATTGACATCTTTATTTAAAACACGAGGTCCATTTCACAGGTTATGTTATGTGCTCTTCAATGGAGACGTGTACCTATATTAGTACACTAATTACTAATAAAAAGGTATCAAACTATTTACAAAAGTAACAAACTACACATGCAAAGAAACTAATATAAAAGAAATATTAAGATATTTTTACGGTGGCCCACAAGTGTCCCGGCGAAAGTAAATAGCCACGGCAAAATTAAATTAACTCACGACAAAATGAAGTTAACTCACGGCAAAATAAAGTTAACTCACGGCAAAATAAAGTTAACGAAATAGAATTAATTTAACGTTGGAAGGCCCGGCCTTAGAAGAGGCCTAAAACAAAATGGCCTGCACCGCTCTCGATTGTCTCGTTTCGCTTGTGAGTTATTTCTTCAGCAAATTAAGCTATTAATCTTCTCTGACTATATAAGCTAAGTAACAAAATTCAAGTATCTACCTAAACAAATCAGCTTAAAACAGTAAACAAATATTAAGAACTATAGGAAGGAAAGTCAGAGAAGATTAATAATTTATAATTTGCTGAAGAAATGAGACAATCGAGCGCGGTGCCGGCTATTTTGTTTTAGGCCTCTTAATTCGATTTCGTTAACTTTATTTTGCCGCGAGTTAACATAATTTTGCCGTGAGTTAACTTTATTTTGCCGTGAGTTAATTTAATTTTGCCGTGAGTTAATTTAATTTTGCCGTGGCTATTTACTTTCGCCGTGACACTTGTGGGCCACCGTATATTTTAGATTTAAACTCAGCGAGAGATTGAACTCTAGTGAGTTCGACAGATATGTCATTCCATAGGGTAGCTCCTCTATAGGAAAAACTTTTCTTCAAGGATTCCGTTAAGGGTCTTGGTACAAAAAGTTTATGATTAGATCCAAGGATGCCGGAACCACGGATGCAACGGGTGCAAGTGCACCCCTTGCCTTTTGTGAAACTTTGTGGGTGTAGTGCGGGTGCAGAATATGTACGGGTGCAACGGGTGCACAAAGTGCCCTTTTTTTGCGTGAAAATCTTTCATTAAAATTGCATTTTTTGCGCAAAGGGCATTTTTGATAAATTGAATCTTTGTTATTTCCGGAAAAGGATTTTAGGAAAGATTGTCGTATGTCCGGAAAAATGTTTTTCCCCCTAAAATGGTACACTGACCGAAAATTTTTTGGCGAAGGGGGGGAAGGTCGGAAAAAAATATTTTAGATGCCCTTTCATTTTCATTAGTGCCCTTAGGAATGTGCCCTCTTGTTAGGTCTTGTCTAAAAGTACACACGAGTGACTACGGATGACCACGAGTGACCACGAGTGACCACGAGTGACCACGAGTGACCACGAGTGACCACGAATGACCACGAGTGACCACGAGTGACCACGAGTGACCACGACTAATTTCTGTGTTTAAAAGTCATAAAATATTAATAAAAAACTATTTTAAGGTGGCTCCATACGGTTTTTGCATTAATACTGTACTTTTGTATCCAGAAAATTCCTGTTTCTTCACTTTACATGACACGAAGACGAAATTTATTGGACACATTAACAATGCTCTCCTGAACATTGCAATTAACTACTTTTGCGCTGAAAGTCCGTTACTATGGTGACAGCGTGCTTTGGATAATTAAGCTCAAATTTTGTCTTTTTCCGGCCGTTTTTAAAATTTTAAAATTTGCACAAAAGATCAGTTCTCGTATAATGATTTTTTCTTCAATTTAAAAAAAATTTATGGAACGTTTCTTAGGTTATTCCTTTCAATAAAATTTTAAGAAAAAAGGATATTGAGCTTGTTTAGCCGATATTAAGAAATGTGCAAAGTTTTAAAACAATTTACCGAAGGAAAAGGGTGAAATTTAGGTTTAATTTTGGCATTTTTTGGCGAGATGTGACGTGTAACCCCCACCCCCCAACTGTGAAACTCAGACAAAAATCCGGTAAAATTCCAGTTAAAATTTTGATATTTTCAGGTAAAATTTGCGTGATAAAGAAATTATTTGTGTGAAATGATAACCATATTTGTAAAATATACAGTCAATTTACATCCAATTTGTTTGCGAATTTGCTTTAGAAAACGCCAGAATTGCAGTCCTAGAGCTTCAAAAATGGAACAATTTCTTGGGGGGTAGGACCCCCAACCCCCCGTTTTCTCCCGAAACTTAGTATGACAGTGCAAGTCATTATCACAAGAAGCTTTATTATAATTATTACACTTTAGGTAAATATTTATTAATTGAAAATTCAAATTTCAGGTAAAATCCTAGCCTCTGACACCCCCCCCCCCCAACTTCAGATGCTTTGCTATGTTCCTGTAGACTGACGTGTACAATAGTCGAAAAACTAAAAAAAATTTCCCGAAAGGATTTTTAAAATGGCCGAAAAAAGACAAATTTTGAGCCTTATCCTAAGCACGCTGTTGCCATGGTAACAGACTTTCTGCGCAAAAGTAGCACATTGCAATATTCAGGAGAGCATTGTCAATGTGTCCAATAAATTTCGTCTTCGTGTCATGTAAAGTGAAGAAACAGGAGTTTTCTGGATACAAAAGTGTAGTATAATGCAAAAACCCTATGGAGCCACCTTAAAATAGTTTTTTATTATTATTTTATGACTTTTAAACACAGAAATAACTAGTGGTCATTCGTGGTCACTCGTGGTCACTCGTGGTCATTCGTGGTCATTCGTGGTCACTCGTGGTCACTCGTGGTCACTCGTGGTCACTCGTGTGTACTTTTAGACAAGATCCTCTTGTTAACTATTTGAACCCCTTGCCCTCAGAACTTCCGGCATCTCTGCAAAGTTGCAGCCCTATTCTGTAATCGCAGTAACTTTTGTCCAAGACCCTTACCCAGGCTATCACAGACAATACTACAATAATCAAAGTATGGCTGTACTAAAGAGTTATAGATCATGACAAAAGTTGATCGTGTGGGAGCAATGGTTTTAGTCTTCGTAGAACTCCAATCACCTTGGCGACTTTGGAGATTATAGTAGAAACATGATGCTCCCATGTCAAACTCTCGTACTGTTTTAAACCTAAACACTTATAAGATCTAACTCTTTCAATTTTGTTTTAATATTGGGTTCTTCATTGCCTGGATGCCATAAACATACATTTAGTTTTAATCGCATTCAGGTTTAGTTTATTCAGGTTAAGCCAGTTTTGGAGAGTTTTAAGGTCGTCATTTAGAACAGACATCAACTTGTTCGCAAAAGTTGCTGTCCGCAAAAGTCAAGTTGGTATCATCAGCGAATAAACGCCCATCTGATACCAATTCACTATTAGGTAGGTCGTTTATAATTATATATTTAAAACAGTAGTGGACCTAAGATAGACCCCTGAGGAAATCCACATGTTACATTACGACTATCAGATCGTATGTTGTTAGTACAGTAACTGTTATTTGAGTAAGATCAGAAAGATAGTTTCTAAAAAAGATCAATTGTTTCTTTGTTGAAACTGTAACAAGTTAACTTCTGTAGTAAAATATTATGATCAATGGTATCAAAAGCCTTTTTTAAATCAATGAATAAGACAGCATTTATTAACCCACTGTCCATGTTAGTGTACCATTATCAGTGACATCAAGCATAGCTGTTAACGTTGAGTGAAGAGGTCTAAATCCTGACTGTATGTCAGATAAAAGTAAACGCAAACTGAACGCAAAATTAACAACTGCTGAAAATGAAAAGGCTAGCCTCGTAACAGTCATTCGCCTTCTTAATGACGAACAAACATCATTACAACTAGCCCAACAAAGAACAATAAATTAAACCATGCGTATCAAACACAAAACCCATGGATTACGACTCGTTCAAAAGCTTCAACTCAAAGTGACCATCATGATGTAATTCCGAATAACAGATACTCTATTCTGCATGTTGAGGACGATGAAGGAACGGAGACTATCGTGGATGCCAGGAATAATCAAACTACAGATAGTCCAAGACAAGAAATAGATCAACGAAATTGTCAAGCAACAGAGCCGAAGCAGGACGCTGGAGATGCACGATCAACAATCCCATGCAGTTAATCGAAATCGAGGACATCGACGGCATTCACGGCAATCAAATATCTCCAATGAGGATATCGCACGCCCAAATGACGATCATAATGATCAACCAAAACGACCCTTACATCGCTCCAAGGTAACAGTGGTCGGAGATTCAATGTTGAAATATCTAAATCCAACTAAGCTTCGCCAAAATCTAAGGAAAAGTGTGCTTGTCAGGACCTTTCCAGGAGCCAAAGTTACAGATATGAAGCACTATGTTCAACCTACGCTAGCGACATTTCCCGAGGCTTTGGTGCTACATGTTGGCACAAATTACCTTAGCCAGAAGACTACACAAAACGTACTTGAAGAACTAACCAGTCTGGGGCAAGCAATTTCTGTGGATTCGCCTGAAACAAAGTTAGTGATCTCTGCAATTATAACCAGAGCTGATAACCCAAATTTAGCCACTAAAGTGAGTGAAATAAATGCTAAATTATCACAGGTGTGTATTACTAATAACTGGGGTTTTATTTCCCATGAGAATATTGATGGAACTCATTTGAACACGTCTGGAGTCCATTTAAATAGACAAGAAAACTGCCATTATGGCTCAAAACATTAGAAATTTTTTTAAGCATTCCAATAAACTTTTTACTTCAAGTTTAATTACCGATATCAGCAACGATTCTATTAACGAACGGATATTTGATGCTAGCTCTCCTTTACCAAAATTACGGGGCTTTAAAATTGCCCACCTAAATATTACTAGTTTAACGAAACATTTCGACGAGCTTTTAATTTACATGCAAGATAAACCTTTTGACATTTTGACATTAAACGAAACGCGGCTTGATAATAATATATCAGACTCTGAAGTTAAGATCTCTGGATATGATATTATACGCCGTGATAGAAATAGAAATGGCGGTGGCGTAGCAATGTATATTCGAAGTAACATATCATTAATAATATATAATCGTAACGACTTGGTACCTGAAGTACTCGAACAAATCTGTGTGGAAATACTGAGTAAGCCTAAAAGTAAACCGTTTTTTGTTTCCTCATGGTATAGACCGCCCAATTCGAAAATTGAAATGTTTCGTTCTTTTGAAGAATTCCTTAAGCAAGCAGAGATTGAAAACAAACAACTCATTGTCACAGGGGATTTAAACTGTAATCTCTTAGAACAAGAAAGAAGTGCATGTACGGCTAAATTGCTAGATATATTTTATGTCTATCTTTTGAAGCAGCACATTCAAAGTCCTACTAGAGCAACTGCTAGGTCGCAATCATTAATTGACGTAATTATTACTTCTATTGATGATAACAAGATAACAGATTCTGGTGTAGTAGAACTAGGTATTAGTGACCATCATTTAGTTTACATGTGCCGCAAAGTCAGTATCCCGAAAGAAACGCCGAAAATTATATTCAGTACGCAGTTTAAAAATTTTAATGTTAATCAATTTAAGAAAGATCTAAGAAATAATATTAACACGAATATTATAATGGATGATCCGAACATCTTGTGGCATGATTGGAAAACAAAGTCCTTAACTATTGCACAAAAACATGCGCCAATGCGACAACGCCGGGTTAAATGTGATTATAAACCATGGCTTACAAACCAAATTAAGAAATTATCCTACCATAGAGATTTCCTTAAAAAACAAGCTGTTAAATTTAGATCTGCAGCATATGATGCTGCTTATAAAAGGCATAAGAATTATGTTAACAAACTAATAAAAACCACTAAGGAAGACTACTTTAAAACGAAGCTTGGTAATGCAAAAAACAGTTATGACAGTTGGCAGGCAATTAACAGTTTGCTAAATAAAAGATCTAAGACTACAGAAATTCCTGAGTTACAAATTGAAAATCGATCTGTCAAAGGAGATGAAAATATTGCTTCTTGCTTCAATGATTATTTTTCTACAATAGGATCAAAACTTGCTAGTAATGTGACCGGTATAGATTCCGATCCATTGCGCTTCGTACCACCTGTTGCGAATACATTTTACTTTCAAAATATTAGTGCTCTAGAATTGACGAAAACAATAGCTCAAATTTAGATAAAAAAAAGTCACCTGGGATTGACGGTATAAGTGCCAAGCTATTGAAAGACGCCGGAGATACAATAAATGAGTCATTGGTTAGCATTTTCAACTTATCATTGCAATCTGGAATATTTCCTGACGACTAGAAATTAGATAGGGTAACGCCAATTTATAAGGATGGCTCGAAAACAGAATGTGGCAATTATCGACCAATTTCTGTAATATCTATTGTTGCCAAAATATTCGAAAAACTAGTATGTAGTCAATTAAGATCCTTTATGAAGGAAAATAACATCATTATAGACGATCAGTCTGGGTTCCGTCAGTATCACTCTACTGAAACGACACTATTAGATTCAACAAATGAATGGCTTGGCAACATGGATAAAGGTCTAATTAACGGGGTATTGTTCCTGGATCTAAAAAAGGCATTCGATACGGTTAATCACAAAATATTACTTTCTAATTTAGAGATGTATGGAATAAGAGGGCACAGTTTAGATTGGTTCAGATCTTATTTTATGAATAGAAAACAGGTCTGTGCAATTAATGGTAAACTTTCTGATGAGAAAGAAATTCACTGCGGGGTCCCACAGGGATCGAATCTTGGCCCCTTCTTGTTCCTTTTGTACATTAATGATTTGCCTAATTGCCTTGAAACAACTAAGGCCAGATTATTTGCTGACGATACAACTCTTTCAGCAACAGGATCAACCGTAGACGAAATTGAAACAAAACTAAATCATGACCTTGTAAATGTGGATCAATGGCTCGTTGCAAACAAACTAACCTTAAATGAGGGCAAGACGGAATTTATAATAATAGGCTCAAGGCAACGAGTGCCATCTTTCGAACATGGTCCCTTAATTAAACTTGGTGACAAAGTAATTAAGCGTGTACCACATAAAAAGACACTTGGTGTTATCTTAGATGAACAACTTAAGTGGGACAAACATAACGAGGAACAAAGTAAAACAATTCGTTGTGTTCCCAGACATGTTCTGGAGAAAATGTATAACGCTTTTATAATTCCTAATAGACACTTCCCGAATTTGCTTGAGTGCACACGAAACAATAGCTTGGAATCGAGGCGGACAATGTAATCCATTGGAAAACTATACTTATTTCCAATGGATTACATTGTCCGCCTCGATTCCAAGCTATTGTTTCGTGTGCACTCAAGCAAATTCGGGAAGTGTCTATTTTTACTATTGTTCGACTGTGTGGCATGACGGAAGTAAAAACAAATTAACTAAAATGTCTAAACTTCAAAAGAAAGCGGCACGCGTAATTACCGGTGATTCCTATGATATTCGATCTAACGAAGTATTTCAAAAACTTAACTGGTTACCAATGAGCACATATTTACAAACTCGAGAGAACATAGCTACTTTCAAGGCATTAATCGGAAATTCGCCTCCATATCTTACTAAATTATTTAATCGTTGCTCGAATGAAACATATAATTTGAGAAGTAATTTTGACCAACTGTCATTTTTTCCTATAGAGCGGCAAAATCGTGGAACAACCTTCCCTTAACTTTAACGCAAAACATCGGTAATAAAACAGCGAATGTATTAAAGACATTGCTCATCAATCACTATGGTAACGACTATAGTGATTGACGAGTACCCCGTGTACGTGTACTTTATATGCCGTAATAATTAAGTATTATTGTACTAGTAAAGATAATTCGTATACCTTGTTGTATTAGTGACTGAGTAGTGTGAAGCTGATGAGTAGTTAGGCTTCATAATTATTATTGTAAATTTTTATTGTGTACACGGCCCATTGAAAACCAGCGAATGCTGAATGGCTACCGTGTTTAAATAATTTTAATAAAACAATAAACAATAAAAGGTTGTTTTTGTTTAAAAAGGCATATGCTTGGTCAAAGACAACTTTTTCAAAAAATTTTTAAACTACTGGACGGACTGAAATAGGCCTATAATTATTCAAATCTAGTTTTGAATCATGTTCATAAATTGCTGATACCCTGGCACACTTCCAGTCAGCGGGAATAATTCCCTTGCGAATTACTAGATTAATAATTAAGTAAATGAAACCACAGTAGTGAAATTAATTAATTTTAACTAGAAAATACATGCATGCAGAAACCCTCGCCTTGCTGACAAAACCATTGTATTTTCCGAACATGAAGTATCTAAGTTGTCATGGTAACACGATATTTTTTTAAGAATATTCTTGCAAATGAAAAATCGCCTATAAATATCACTTTTATTCACAAAATTATTAATTTCCCAACATATATCTGTTAGGTATGTTATTGTACGTAATATAAGCCTCGATTTAAGGTAAAATTCAATCACAAACGCTTCACAAAGCGTTTTAAAGTCATTCGAGTGTTCTTTAATATAAAACTAAACTGCCTTTTAAAATGGCTTTATCGATAAACTTTGAGTTTGCAATATAATGATCTAACATTCTCGCTTGCAAATACCTTTGCTTTCTTATTTATTAAAAAAAATCAATATAATAAAAAAGGGAATCAATACTAAAGATACACTGAAATTATACGCTGTCTTGTTTAGTTGTTTCATATACGCAAAGGCCGTCGGGTTTTAAATCCATTATAAAATCAATATTTAAAACAAACTTACCTTCGTTAACGTCGGCTCCCTTCTTTTCGCCGATTCTTTCGCAGTTCCATTCTCAGAGAGTTTTTGAAATTTACAAAATCTTGTAAAAATGCGAGCAAAAATGAAATATATTTGCAAGAAATTTATCAATCATCAAATCAACTCAAGAAATGTTTGCTATTTCGCTGTCGTCATGCAGTCGTTATAATGCTAACTTTAAATTGGACCAATCAGTGTCCGCTATTCGTGACAGTCCTCCATATTTTTGAGATCAGTGAGGATGACCACCCACCCAACACTGTTGGTGACCCACGCCCGCGATATTTGATGAACTTTAGACTCCGCTAATGCTTTCGTTTCCCCGTGTATAAATAGCCGGGGGGAATTAGTACCCTCGCACGGCGCTTCGCGCCGTCGGCTCGGGGATAAACGAACAGGAATGTTATCAAGACCGCTAGCCTTAGAAGTCGATAATTTATAAATTGGTCCATCTATTTGAGATGGAGTAGCTTTATGTAATTTAAAAACTTTATTACATTGTGGAATGTTATAAGAGGCCGCACCAGTTGTTGGAATTTGCGCTGCTAATTTAGGTCCGATTTCAGTGAAATACTTATTAAAAACATTGCTAATAGTTACTGGGTCAGTAATTTCGATTTCATCTTGCAGGATTTTTGGTATAGTAGTCGAATTTTTAGATTTAGAAAGAAGACTGTTGATACCATTCCAAGTTTCTTTAGTTCGACCTACGTTGAGTTGAAACAAAGAATTATAATATTGTTTTTTTACTATCTCTAATATTATAGTTAACTAGATTTTTAGCTGTTTTAAAATTGACCCAATCATTTTCATCATTAGTATAGACTGCTTTACGCTTTAATCGATCTCGTTCCCATATTAATTTCTTGATTTCTACAGAGAGCCATGGGGCACAATTTTTCCTTATTCTTCTTTGTTTGACTGGAGCATGCTTATCAGCAACATCAATAAATAGTTTTTTCCAAATTTGCAAGCATTTATAGGATCATCTAAGGAATATATGTAATGCCAAGAAATAGCATCAATGTCATGCTTGAATGAAGTTTCATCAAAATTTTTATAACTGCGGGATTCGATAGTTATAGGCTTAGATTTAACACTATAGAGTGTTTTCTGATTGCATAAATTAAGTTATGGTCGCTGATACCTAGAACGTACTATAACGCCCGCAGAAGTAAAGTTGTTCGGTTCATTAGTAAGAAAGAGATCGATTAACGTGAATGAGCTATTTGTAACTCTAGTTGACTCCTTAATAAGTTGAGTATATTGATATGACTCACTTAGTTCAAGTAAATGTTTAGTATTATTATCTGCAATAGATGCACTCATGTTACAATTTAAATCACCAATGATATTATTTTCAATACCAAGGAACTCGATTTTATCTAAAATTACCTGAAGTTTGTCAAAGAGATCCTTGCAAGAATTAGGAGGTCTGTACCAGGTTGATATTAGAAATGGTATAACTTTAGGGTTACTGACCTCAACGCACAGAAACGCAAGGGCTTCATCATAAAGATCATTTCTGAGATTAAAATTAGTTGAATTTCGGATATATACATAACTACACCGCCTCCGTGTCGTGTTCGATCGTTTCTAACTAAAGTATATTTATCAATTGATATTTCAGAATTACTAACAGTTTAATCAAGACGAGTTTCGTTTAAGACCAGTATATCTAAATATTATAATTCCCTGTGCTATTTGATCTGGCGAGGCACTTTTATTTAGATCGTTTGTTCCAACATGGAGAATTATTAATCTTTAAATTTTTCCCTATGTCGCGTATACAAATATGAGTAATCTAATTTGACTGCAATAAAACTAAAAATTGCCATATTTTCTCTGCTTTACTTTTTGTTGGAAACTCTTTTTCGCTCTTGCTGAGAATCATTTTGGTCAATGTATTATTTCATTAGCTAGAAGATAAAGCGTTTAGAGAGTCTGACTTTCTGCAAAATCGGTCGGACAATATTTTTGTATTGATTTCCCGTACGATCGCGAGCGTGCAACTATATTTTTTTAAATCAAGCTTCATAAACACGTTATCGTCGAGGTTTTGATATAAAACATTGACCTAAACAATTTGCAACAAGAGCAAAAAGAGTTTTCCAACAAAAACTTAAAAGCAGAGAAAATATAATGGTAATTTTTACGAGTACAAATTATTGTTAATGGACGATACTCAATGCGCTAGACCTAAAAATTATAGATTTAAAATGTCTATGTTAAGCCAACTCGAAAGCTAGTATTGTCTCAACAAAGGAAGACTCTATCACAGACTTTCATTATTTGCTTGCCAAACCCGTAGGCTACTGCACCCAGTATCGTTTATTAATTATTGTCCAAACCACTATGTTTGACCTATTCATAACTATAACAATGAAACTATAGTTAAACATGGGCAGATATCCGAGTTAGCTTTATCTGCCTATATCATTCTTACTTGGATTGCGAGCTGTAAAGACTGATTTAAAGAGTCAGCGATTTCCATAGCATTTTTCGGGTTTTTGTGGATTGGTGAAATGACTTGCTCCGGTCCTTATAATTCTTCAACAAACCTTTGCCGATCAGATGTAAGTTTTCATAACAAAAAACGTGGGGATAACGAGGTTTTTCTGCAACTACGAATTAAAGCGTCAAAAACCGATCCGTTTCGAGCCTCAGCCACAATAACCATTGGCAGCAATTCTGGTATATATTGTCCAGTAAGGGCCCTTCAAACCTACCTTTCACGTGCGCCAACGGACTATGCGGGACCATTGTTTTGCTACTCAAACGGTGTTCCTTTATCACGTAGTCAATTTACTAAGGAACTACGAACACTTTTGGCCCAAGGTGGTCATCACCCTGCTCACTATGCAGGCCACAGCTTTAGAATCGGAGCGGCTACCACAGCTGCGTCCCAAGGTTTGCCTCATTGGCTTATTCAAACGCTAGGAAGACCGTCTTCCGATTGTTACCTCAGATATATTCGCACGCCAATCAATGTCCTTACAGACGTTTCAAAACGATTGATTGCAGAGTGAGATAAACACTCGATCGTTGTTTGTCGGTCTATGGGGATCACACACACTATCGTTGTGTGATTGTGGAAGCAATTGCTCTAGTATGAGGTCGCAATTTTACCATAGACCTCACGTTTTCTTTACGGAATTTGGCAACCTGGCATACAGCCAATTCCCATTTACAAAAATCACTCTATTTCTGCATATGAGTATATGTGCTGAGCCAGATCAGTGTTCTAAGAAATATTTCCCTGATCATTTTTTCCCAGGGCCCAGCTTTGACTTTCTTATTGACTTTGACTTTATTAAAAACGGTACTATTTCACCAAGATATTTACAAAAATTAAGACGGGTGATCTTCCAATAGGCCGTATATAGCTATACTAATTACACATATACTACAGTATCTAATAATAATAACTAAATTACACACAAATTACACACTTACAGTTAGACTATTTTTAAATGTAGAGATACTTGTTTTAGCTTTTATGTCAGCAGACAGATTATTCCAAGTCTCAGCTCCTCGATAGGCGAAAGACTTTTTCATAAAATTAGTTTTAGGTTTAGGTAATGCAAAATTGAATTCGCTCTGTCTTGTATTGTAACTATGTATTTCATTTGAGGTGATGAAAAGTTCCGTTAAGCAATTTGGTAACATGTTATGTTTGGCTTTGAATATTAGGACGGCTAAATGATGATTTCTTCTAGTCACGAGATTTGGAAAACCGACCTTGTTCAAAACATCGATTGTACGTGTATCATAGTTTTCACGAGTTATTATTCGAAATGCTCTATTTTGAAGCTTCTGGAGTTTATCAGATAGTACTTTACCCAGACAACCCCAAATCTGTGAGGAATAGTCGAAATGTGGTTGAATTATTGATAAATAAATTTTGATCAGTGTTTGGTAATCTAGAATGTCTCTCAATCTTTTAAGGATACTGAGACCTAAATTAACCTTTTTTGTAATTTGATCAACTTGAGCATTCCATGAGAGTGTTTCGTCAATCATTAAGCCGAGTGATTTGGTCGTTTTGACTCTATTAATTTCTCTGTCTTTTATGAATATATTAGGCGTTATGTTAATATGATTGACTCTTCTATTACTACCTATTATCATGTATTCTGTCTTCGTTTTGTTTAAAGTTAGTTTATTTGCTGACAACCAAACTGAAACGTTTTCTAGATCTTGATTAAGTTCCTCAGCAATTGTATTAACATCATAACCTGCCGTTTCAATTTGGGTATCGTCGGCAAACATATTGACTTTAGTGTGTTCCAGACAATTAGGTAGGTCATTTATGTAAATTAGGAACAAGAGTGGACCAAGAGCCGAACCTTGTGGTATACCCGTTGTCACACATAGAGGATCAGATAAATGGGCATTCACTTGGCAATATTGTATTCGACCTGTTAAATAGGAGTTGAGCCAGCGTAATGCCGACCCCCTTATGCCATAAATTGCCAACTTACTAAGAAGGATGTCGTGATTAACAGTATCGAATGCTTTTTTTAAATCAAGAAATATCACACCATTAAGTTGGCCAATGTCCATATTCTGATACCATCTATTTGTGATATCGAGCAACGCAGTTAGAGTTGAATGGTTCGGCCTAAAGCCGTGTTGGGAATTTGCTAGTAGATTTTCCTTAACTTAATCAAATATTCATAGATAAATGGAGTATATGTTCTAGCCGACTCAGGACCCAGCTCAAAATCCGTAAAAGTATATGTCTTGGGCAGATTAGGACCCAGCTGCAAATCAGTATATGTCCTAATCGACTTTCCCCAAGATCCAGCTTTTCAATACGAGTATATGCCCTGGGAACCGCTCAGCACCCAGCTCTTCGCAGATAAAAATACAGTATATAGAGCAGTTGTCCCACACTTCCATAACCCCACAAACCTTGTGTTCTTATGCGTGTCGTTATATTAAATATCTCAATATATATATATTTATTAAACGGTGAGGACATTAAGTAATTTTAATCTTATTGCAATCAAATTAGATTAATCAAATTTGTATACGCGACATACGGACAAATTTCAAACATGGATATTTTCCGTTCCAGGTCGAAATTTAAAAATGCCCAGTGCAAAGTTTTAGATTTTAATGTGCTGCATCATAATCTTTTGGTTTTAAATTTAAAAAGTTAAAATTGAATCTCACGGAAGCTCGAGAAGACGGCAATATTTTCTAGCTCGCCTTTGTGTAAATTTCTCGTTTCCTGCATTATGATTAGCTGAGAGCGAAAATGTAAACAAATGCGGTGATTGGCCGAGCACGAAATCTGCCCTTGCTAGTGTTGGTCGATAAAAAATTGATCAACTTCCTGTTACTTATAGATGAGCCAATTAGATTTCGTTTCAGAACCGACTGACCAATAGGAAACGCACAGAAAGTAAAAAGAAATTTGAATTCGTATGAATTGATCAACTTGAGGAAATCAATTCATGCAATATTTTATCAACGCTTGCATTGCATCGACAGTAAGTGGTCTTAATTTATTCACACCCCCAAATTTGGGGTGTAAAATGACAGCCGATGCCAAGGACTTATCAGCATACGCCTCTCAGCACAAAGGCCCAGGGGACGAGGTTGCATTTTATAGGTTTTGAATTTCAAAATTTTCCGAGGTAGCACTCCCACGGACCCCAAGATTATTCGCGCTTTCGGCGCTCAACTTCCACACACACACACACACACACACACACACACACACACACACAACACACACACACACACACACACACACACACACACACACACACACACACATACCTGTTTGTACGGCATTCTGTGGACTATGAAATTTTATGCCCTTCTGGGGACTTGTGTAAAAAATCGTGAAATCATCATAAAGGGGACTTGGTAAGTGTAAACATTGTGGGGACGGTAGGTTTTTGGTGTATTCATTGTGTGGACTCCTGATGTTTTAATGTAAACATTGTGGG